TTACTACTAGCGTGGCACTTGTTACTACTAGCGTGGCACTTGTTACTACTAGCGTCTTGTTACTACTAGGAACAATCGTTAGGTCGATCTTTTAGGACCGTTTTTCTAATGGGCTCTTCTTTCGCAAACTCCTTTCGCAACACTTTCGCGGCTTGCGCTTTGGCTTTCGCGCGCTGCGTTCTGTGCAAAAACACTTTCACAAGCTTTCGCAGACGGAACTGATTTTGCAAGCTTTTGCATACTTTCCGGAGCTTTCGCAAGCTTTCGCAAATGAAAAGCTCGCACAATCTTTCGCGACTGCATGTTTTGCTTTCACGAAGGCATAATACATTAACCTCTCTTCGAATTGTCACTTGGGAAGTTTTGGCCACTGCTCCCTTGAAGTTACACTCCCGCATCAACCTTCACCTGCTTCCTTGTTGAAATAGGAAAGCCTTGCGAAGTCTTGTCTAAGATAAACCAAGCAAACTGTTTTGTCGCTGTTTGACCACGGCCTTGCGTTTCCAAGGCTTGGACCAATGTCCTGGTCCAGCCCCGGGTCGTTCCTCGGCGCTCCATGATGCTTCTTTTATGTCTGAACTCTTCCGATGGAGTGGGCCAGAATGAACAAACAATTCACGAACATGGTCATGATACTGCGTGTGTATGTACTCGAGCTTATCCAAAATACTTGCTACCACACACGCACGCACCTGTCAGAACCTGTTGAAACGACCCCTGGTGCTAAAAAAGCAACAGAAACCAGGTCGTCTTGCTGCTACATCGACTCTCAACTGCCTAAATTCAAATCCCACCCCGACTTGGCCGCAACACCTTCAACCCAGGCGTTGCTTCGAATTCACTATCTCCTGGCCTTGCGACAAACGCTTTGAGCCACGCTCGAGCTGGCACTCTAAGTGTTGGAACCTAATGGCGATGGCCTCCAACCGAAATAGCAAACTATATATTATAGACCTTTCTTCCTTTTACTTGTTTCTTTGTTTCTATTAGCGATGGCCTCCAACCTACTAGCGATGGCCTCGCATGGTGACATGGCACTGAAGTTCACTTTGCCCCGCCTTGGCGCTGGCCGGGGCGCATTGTCATCTTCGCCGGTCACGGCGCGAGCACCACCTGCTTCCGCGCCAGCTCCGACCTTTGGCACCACGACCGGAAGCTCCACGACCTGCTTCGGTGCCAGCTGGTCCTCGAAGGGCAACAAGTACGACAAATACTGAAGTGAACGGAACACCAGTGGTTTGGTGCATTTGATGGTGAAACTGAGAGAGAGGAGAATCTGATTCGAGGCCACAACAAAACAGATCGTGGCCCGGTCAGTCAAGGATACCCCAGAACGTACTTTTGCTCTTAACCACAGAGAGTCACTGGGCACGCCTTGGGTGAGAGGTGCACGCCTTTTTCAGTTCTTGTATACATCCTTAGCTCAAATTCTAGGGCATTTGCTGGGTCAAATTGTACAGAAGGACCCAGCAAATGCCACAGCGGAAGGCTTCTTACGGCTTCTTATCTGAGAACCAATTCTGACGTGGCTAGCCTCAAAAAAGGAGTTCTTCAGAAACCAGCTGCTTTAACCCTGTAGTGCCTTCCATGCCAAGAATTTAAGACGTCAGGATCTACGTCTACGTGAAAACCGAGACTGGTCGAAGCAACTCATGCCAAACAATTCTGTGAACACTTGAATTCTTCCTTTGCTCGCCCAGCTCAAAAAAAGGAGGTGCCCATTGTCTGGCCCTTATGCACGGATGCAAATTCACAGTTCAGGGCACTCTTTACCCCGCTGTAAGGCCTTTCACACCACTCTGGGTGCTGCGGCTAGAGATTTTGTGCAAAAGCAATTAACTCAACTCCCCAAGAGGAAGAGGCTCTAGAGCCGCTTGGGTTGTTCTCAACCACCATCGGCCCAATGAAGCTATCCATAAAAGTCCGAAGGTGGTTGTGACAACCCGCTATATGACTTGGAGGTGTCTGAAATTTTCAAAATAGCTGAATAGCTGAACTGAGCAGGTCAAATGGAACGGGGCTTTGGTACCACCCGCGCTCTGCTCAGCTCGAGTCCTCAGCGACGAACACTGCGAGGCACTGGGTGAGTCTTAAAGCTTTGAAGCCACATCCGTGCGACGAAGGTGGGGGTCACTATGACCCACTCCAAAAGGAAAGAGAACTGTGAGGCCTTTAACTCACCCTAGCAATCTGAAATTGCACGTTTGCACCCCAACAAGATACACCCGGCTTTAGCACTTTGGAGATCAAATCTATTTTTTGCAGTCCACTGCCACCTGTTTGAATCAGAACCACTCACCCAAAGTTATTTCAGAGTAAAGTATCAAAATAATGTGTGTGTTTCGACTCCCATACTGGGCTTCAAACATGTGACTGTATCATACTGTATCATGCTATGGTTTAAAACGTTTGCGCACATGATAATTCTGTAGACGCACTAGCAAGAGCGTCTGCCAGCGCGCCGTTTTCACCTAAGGCGCAGCACGAAATGGCTTCAGGCCTTGATCCAAGCGAACATGAACAACCATGTTCCTCCGCCTGCCCAACACCGAAGAGCAAACTCAACTTTCACAGTTCATCCCCTTCTCTTGTGGCATTTGAGGGGTTGGGCAACGGCTGAACACGGTCACGAGCAAAGCAACAGGCTCCTCAAGCATCGATCGAGGATTCTGGAGCTCTCGCATGTCGACAGAGTCTTCCAACTGTCGCCAAATCACACTATGTTCGCTGCCAAAGCGGGCAAAAGTGGAACGAAACGCATGTGTCGTTCTTGAACAGCGTGGCTCTGGGGTCCTGTACGAACGAGCCTGACGGCACACGTTGACGGCCAAATCTTCATTCAAAACATGCCAACCTGAGCTCTGTGAGAGCTTCATCACATGGCCAAACAACGGGGAGGAGCTTTCAAAAGGGACTCCCATGTCACTTCTCACCACCCTTCCGGTCTGTTGTGAGTTAGCCATGGGCTTCTTACTTTTGGACGTCTGTTTGACGTACTGGGAGGAAAACTGTACACACCACTTGCAATCTCTCAGGATCTTATGAAGGTGCTGAGGGTCAAGCTCCTTAGTGCCGCAGTCTACGATCATGTTCTCTGTTGCTGTCCAACGCATGCTCGTGTTGCATCGAGCCAGCATTGAACGAATCCAGCTTATGGTGAAAGCTAAACTCTTTTGGCTGCCATAGCTCGGCGTTTCTGAGCAGGATTTGTCGAATGCATCCTTGGCGTCAGTGACAAGGTAGCAGGCCGTCGGGCCTTTGGGATCTTCCGCTCGTCGCAAATTGAGCATTTGAGGTGACGAGCAGCATGGATGATGTCCGGAGGGGCACCAGTGATAGCCAGTGCTCTGGCTAGGCGACGGCCAGATCGGTGGCCCGTGTTTTCATGTAGGCGTCGAAGAGCTTGCTTCACAGCAGCTGACACCTTGGGTCCAGTGACAGCTTCAGTGGACTCCTGATCAGAGTCACTCAGGTTCATGTCAATCGGCAGGGCGGTCTCATCTTCAGCCTCCTCACCGTCTTCGATGGCAAGGATGTTGTGTGGTCTTTTGAAGTCAGCTTCAAACTGCTTTTCCATGCCAACCACCAGGGCCTTTGCGAGGGCCCACGGATAGTGGCCAGCGGGCTCTGAAACAGCTTTTCCCCCAATGACATGACCATGAGGGTGATTGCCAAGACGTTTCATGCCGTCCAGTTGGGAAAGGACCTCATCACTCGAAGTGGCTATCCTCGTAGCTTTCCGAAGTAGGTCACCCGCCTGGTTCTTCAAGTGGAATCGGCATTGGTGGAAGACTACACAACGGGCCTCAAGTTGCTCCAAGGCTCTTTGCATCTCTTCCAGGGTCCATGCTCTAGAGGATTGAGGGTTCTCCAAAACAAAGTGACAACCACGACTCTTTTGGTCCTTGGCCAATTGGAGGGCGAACTGCAAGAGGGTGATCGCTTCCTCATACATCTTGGTGCCATTCTTCGGAGGGTTGAGGTTGAGTAACACACTCCAAAAGGAACAAGGAAATGCCAGCACCAAAAAGAAAGGACTTTCACGCTTCAGGACGGCTCTGGCAGCTGTGCGATCCAGTGGACGGAGAAAGTTCCATCCTGATTCCAAGCTCATTGAGGCTCCCACTCGATGTCCTCGTTTGCGAGCCGTCTGCGCAACTCGCTCTGTGTTTGTGTAGACCTCAGTGACAAAGGTCTTGGGGAAGCGGTCATTCTCAACAAGGTCGGGGTTCTTTGAAATCAACCTATTCTCAGACATGGCATGGGACTGAAAAGACTTCTCATCGCCAACGGTGAGGGTGGTGACAAAGATCTCGTTCTGGAAGTGGTCCATCGCTCGATGCCACTGCTCCTCATAGACTTCATTCACTTCCTTGGCACTGAGCGACACAAGGTGACGGTCTCTTTCATGACGCTCCCAAGCATCCGAAATCATTTTAGCCTGACCAGGTTTCACCGCCTGATGTATCCTCCAAGGATTCGTCTCCAGCTCGAGCATCGGTCTCACTGGTCGCGAGGAGGAATTCCATTGGCCTGGCGCCACTCCAAGTCGTCCTGGTAGTAGTCGCGGTTCATCTGTTGAATCTCGTCTTGGGTCCAGCCGAAGTCCATGGTTGCTTCGGTTTCCATCGGACCGGAAGTCATAGGTCCTGGCAGGTGCGATGCTTGGTGCAGGGTCGAAATGCTCTGGAGCACTTGGTTCAGCATCCCTTGGAACTTGTGGTCCTGCATGGTGAGGACTTCCTGTAGCTCTTGAGCGGTCACTCCAGGAGATGCCTTGGCCTTTGCGCCAATTGTCTCGGGCGCTTGAGAAGGTCTCGCCATTGACGTCTCGGGGACATGTCTTTCCGTTGAACTGGTAGATCCACTTGCCTTCGAGGGAGTTGGCTTTTGAGCGATCTCGGCAACCAAGGGGCGGCAAGCTTTCTTGAGATCTTCCACAGTCATTCCAGTCTGGACGGGGATGTTCAGGAGTGAAGCCAGTTTCACCAGGTCTGCCTTCAACGTTGGCAGGCCTCCCTTTGGGCCGATGAGGGAGCGCACCATGTCGTGCTTCTCTCCACGCTTGGTAGCGGCCTCGGCTTCGAGTTGGGCTTCCTGAATGGCATCCCGCTTCAATTGGGCCGTCAGGCCTTTGCTGGCGCGTGCCGCAAGCATTCCTTGCAACATGTTGTCCTCCATGAAGGCGAAGTTGAGGCCAGCACGGTTCCTGAATTGTCCCAAGTCCAGGAGGTTCTTGGTCGTGTACACTGACGGTTCTTGGGTTCGAGCTCGCTGCCAGTGCTTGACCATCAATGCCTTTGGCTTCTGGAGGGTCATAGATTCGGCTTGTTCTTGCCAATGTCTGGTATGGCTGATGCTGGGGTACGGAAAGGGCGCGTACCGCAGCTGCGGACGAGGCAACAGCCATAAGAGCAAGCCATGTGCGTGCCAAGCGGCCTTTACGCGAAGGCGGAGAAGCATTCGCCGCCAGCGCAGCACCACCTTCGTGTAGTCGTCCTCGGTCAGGTCGAAGTGCTGGGCCGCTTCCATTACGATCCACAGATCCTGCGAGGTCTCGAAAGGTCGTCGAAGAGGATGTCGTCGGGGCTGAAGGACGTGTTTGAGCCACCTTCATAGCTTGAGCCCCGGCCGATGTCGCAGCAAGGATCGCATGCTCTGTCACAAGGTGCTCATGCGGTGCTTCGGAGGTTGACTCAAAAGGCACTTCAAAATGACTCATCTTCAATTGCAACTGTTTCTTCCAAAAATCAAAACTGTTCAACTGAAGTTCAACTATGCCGTCTTGTCCAAGTTTCCGCCAGCGTTGGGAGTCCGGACGAGGCCATTGGCGTGGCTGGAGTGGAAGGGCGAAGTGGCCTGCGGCCAGCTGACCCAACTCCAAAAGTTCGCCACCCACCAAGTCAGCTCTCAGTAGCTTGCGGCCGAACGAAAGGACCGCACCGATAGCGCTCAAAAAGTCTCTTCCCAAAAGGAGTCCCAACGATGGCACTGGCACTATTGACACCCACACCAAAACCAAAGTCGAACCCAGGGCCATAGGGAGTCTGTACCTCACGGTGCTTCTTTGGGTACCACCATTTCCAAACCTGAACAACTCATTCTCGGGGGTGGTGATGATGAGGTTCTGGATATAGGAAGGAGCACGTTCGAGGGCTTGGAGGTAGAAGGCCAACCATGAGGAAC